TCATTTCGTTAAATATTAATTTCAGAATAATTTTAACTTTTACGAATTAATTTACACGAATTCCGAGTTTAACGAATCAAGTTCAACGAAAGCTCATCAAGATAACGAGAAGCTCTCATTATTCCCCCGACAGTGAGACTTAACCTGCTCCTTAACAAAGAAGCTCTGAATCGTTAAAGATTACTTGAACCAGGCAATTGGTGCACTCTGGGAAGAGTTACACGATTCGTGAAACGAGAGCCCGAATAATTCCGAATATTCACGCGAAATTGATCAATCACAAATTTATTCCAGAAAACGTGGTTACAAAATGAAACTACTAGAAATTAATAATTTAGACGAATCTTTTTTCTCGAGTTTAGCACCTATCGAGTTGGAGGATTACGATAAGCTCCGATTGCTCCTCGGTAACGAGAGCTATGCCTACCTATAGAGAGGGACTGGGAATCCTTGAGCGGGGCACAGAAGGGTGACGCTGTTTAACGAAGAAACGCTGAATCGTTGAAGATCGCTCGGGCCGGATAATTGTGGACGCGTGCTGGATGCAGGCTCTGACGGAGGAAATCAAACGTATCGCGAGATGAGAGCCAACCTCTACACGATGAAACCATTACCTGTACGATGGAACGGGGAACCCTTGGGCAGGACACAGCAACGTCATCGCACCGCCGAGTGCCATTTTGAATGCTTGCAAATCGGCCAACGACGGGAATTTCGGCCGAGTGCTGGCGACCGGCTCTGGAGGGATGCACCAAGAAACATTTGACGAAGAAATTTGTGCCGAAAATGTCGATTACTCGAGATGGTTCCTCTTTCGTTACGAAAAAAATCACGCATCGATTCATTCGCGTACGTACGTCTCACGATCGCGAATTTTCTGTACCTGAAGGCTGGAACGGGGAACGCCTGAGCTGGACACAACAAAGTGAGCGGCTGGTCGCAGTGGACCGTGTACGTACGCGAGTTCTCCGTCATCGGGAACTTCGGTTTCGTGCTAGCCACCGGTTCTACGAGAAAATATGTTCGGTGAGGGTCGAGTCTCCGTGTCGAACGCCGGGACAGGGCAATCGACGATCGCACCTTGAGCTTCATCGACGCTCTTGACTTTTTGAGATTCGTAAGATGAATGACATCAGTCAGCCACGAGCGGATAAAATATAATACTTTGCCTGGGTTACATTTAAATATACTTAAAACTGAGAAAATGT